GGGTGGGAGGCTACCGTATTTCAAGCATAAACTACTCTGGTTCCAATCTCTTGGTCGTTTCCATAAAATCTCTTTAACCCTGTGCTTTATTACCGTAGCTTGAAATATCATACCCCATTGTTGGTCGCATTGGAGCATTTATGTAACCTATGCTTTTAATCATGAAACATTCTGCCTTTACCCTTGTTCGTGTGCTAAAATTTATGCGGTAACCCTCTCTTAACTTAAGTACGAAATATTTTACCCTACCCTTGGTCATATTCCCACATTTTATAACTCTTTTCACCTGATTATTCGTTTGTTTGCTTGCTTGTTTATTTGTTTGCTTGTTTGATTGATTGTTTTTCCTACCTTTTTAGGAGTAAAACAGTTGGTGAATCAAATCCAACCTTACGCCAGCTAATTCTTGCTCAGTTCGCGGTCATCAGTAATGTAATTCTGTAGCCAGCGATATGCTTTTATAATGTTTCGTTTTCTTTAAATTATGCCATCTTAGTTTTAGCGCTGGTAAAACTGTATTTTACCGAAGGAAAAAATCTTGAAGGTGTGCAAGATGGTGGTCAAAAGGCTTTTATGTATTACATTTGGATAATGTCATTTGGCAAAGTCAGTTGGTGCGTCTTTAGAATATGCCATGACCCCACCCTCCCTTCCATGGCGGGGGAAAAAGTGCCGAACCACATCGTCAGCAGTGTCTGCAACTCTTTCCAAAAAAATGATATATTTAGCACTCAGAACCCAATCACAGTGTTTCCATAACCGAAAGCCTTATCCATGTAGTCGCACCATAAGTATCGTCGAACATCGTTATATACCAAACAAAAATAAAATTCATAAATATTATGCTTTTTACATTATATTGTAAGTAGTATGCTTCTTGTGCAGTAGTATTGTAATAGTTATAGTTTTGTCTTCGTGATTTTTTATTTCATTAGTATGTATATTATGAATCAGCGTCAATAAAATGTATATACGAATGAAACGCTTATTCCCAGATTTGTGGCGCGCGGCGTAAAGTCCTGCGAGCCAAAGGAACTCTTGCGAAAGAGATAGAGGGAGCTTCACCATAACTTTATCAAAAAAAAAAAAAAAGAAAAAGAAAAAAGCAAGAAAAAAAATTTTTTTTTTAATTTAAAAAGATTTAAAAAAATAAAAAACTCTATCGGTCATAATCGGTCATAACTGCACAATGTCCTATTTTTTCGCAAAATTCCGGATCCGTCGTTATTTAATAAGACATGGGATTTGTAAACGTTTATAATTACATACCGTGAAGTGTGTTGTTTCAGGGCCGTATAGAGTAGAGAGGAATATCTAAAAATCATATTTAAATTTTGTTTTAGAAATTCTAGTTGAAAAAAAAAGTTTTAGTTTACTGAATGAGTTCACGCAGTTTGGATCATCAATTGATCAAACTATATTTAGTGAATTTTCTATTATACTAAATAGAGCTGTAAGAGGCATTAGGCCAGTGCGCGTAACCTTCTAGGCCCGGTTGTTCAAAACCCCGATTAAACTAACCTAGGATCGATTAGGACTAAACCAAGACCAAATTTACTGATCGTGGTATTGTCAATAGTGATTATGATGAAGGATATTACTTTCCAGTTTTCATTTAACCCTTGTTTGTTTCCTACCTTGTAGCAAGTCCGAACTCTCTCTCGCAAAAAGTTCATGTTCAGAGCATTGCTGTACAAGGCAAGGAAGGCTGCAGGACTCAGTGATTTGGCAGTTTCATAAACACGCGCTGCTGTAGCCATCGCTGTACCAAACTTGTTACTGGGATGCCTGTGGTACCTTTTTCCTCAATAGACCATTGACCACAGGTATCCCAGTAAACGCCCATAAGGCGCTTTTAAAATAATTTAGCCCCTCTAGACTGATTCATAGTGAATAGAATTCCTTTCCATTTGCAGCAAAGTAGTTACACCAAAAATATAAAGATAACAACACCTATCTATAAGCCTGCATGAGGCCCAACCTTATTATAATTCTGGCTTGAGAGTTGAAGTTAAGTTAACCAGAGTTTGAGTGGGACGTCATACCAAAAATCCGAATTAAAGAAACGAGAATCTGAAAATAAAATTGCAAAAAAAAAAAACCTGGATCCGCACATCTCGAAGAAACCGTGAAATCGCACAAAATAAATTAAAGACATTAGAAGAACCGCACGTTAAATGATCCGCTTACTTGGTGTGTATACAGTCAATTCAAAAAATGTTGTCGTCGACCAACTCAAGCCTACGTGACTGGACCGAAAGGAACTCTGTTTAGTAATCATTGAAGCCGAGTTGACTTCATAATTTTACGGACTAGCTATGCCTGGTTTACAGCACGAACCTTCGTAGGCAAGCGGGAAGTGTTGAAGGATACGTTTTTTTAATGCCTTCATATTTTCGGAATTGTGAACTGAATCATAATTACTTTGTTTTTCTTTTCCTAAACCTGAAGACATGCATTTGATGGATTGTTTCTCGCCATTATTATCTTATTACTAGCGGGAACGATTAATTCAGAATGAATATTTGACCGCTTCAGTGGTTTTTACCCATATTCCTTTCGGTCCAGTCGCGTAGGCTTGAGCCGGTCGACGACAACGTTTTTTGAATTGACTGTAGGCTAAGGTGAGAACCGGTAACGTGTTTTTAGAGAAGGGGTTGGCACGTTCCACCAACGTCTGGTGGCCCCACGTCTGGTGGCCCCACACCTCTGGTGGCCCCTGTCCCATTTTCTCCGCGGCAATACAACCTTTGATTACGAAACTTGGCAGGGATGTAGTCACGTGTCCTGTCAGTCACCCCAACGATTTTGGGTGTATGACGTCACATATCACGTGACTTGCTAAGATAACATTATCGCCAGTCTTTGAAATAAACCCTTTTTTGACGTTATTGCACTGAAGTGTTTTGGTACATTAAAAAACTCATAAACTTAAAAATTTATATGAAAATGTTATAATAATGGGATTTTGTTGTAAAAGCCCCGGTAAGGATTTCTTTAGCTTTCCATATGCATAAAAAGGTAAATGTAAAGCGTCCTTATTTTACGTCGTTCGTAATGGTCATTGACTAATTAACTTGCTGAGGCCAATGGTGCGTTCATTTCGCTCCCTCTTTCCATCAGTGCTCCGTTTTAAGGGTATTTAAAGCTAATTAAAGCTACACGGAAAGGAAAGAAGTCGAAACAAGGATNGGCAATAGCAAAGTCTAATAAGCTTCTCTTGTTGAAGCTGTTTCAATGTTATTTACAGTCTTTTGACTAAACGTTGTCGTTGATCGGATCAAGCCTACRCGCCTAGATCGAAAAGGATAACGGGTAAATTACCCAGAACTTGCGTCATCCAAACTGCTCGTCAGCGTTAAATCTTCGCCGTATGCTCGAGGCATGGTTTTAGCAAATTAAATGGGATCGAAAACAGCAAGCTCAAGACGTGTTAGATAACATATRCGGCAGCTAGTAACTGTCAATTATCCCCATGATCCTTTTCGGTCTAGGCGCGTAGGGAYGAAGCCGATCAAACGACAACGTTTAGTCAAAGGACTGTATATCTCAAGGGATTTTGAGTCACGGATTGCTCCGGCCTCAAAAACAACTGGTCTAATTAGCCAAATCCACTTGGGCGTAATGTTCGGCCATTTCAGACCACGTGTCACTCTTTTAAAAATAAGATTCCTTGTTTAAGTTTTGTCCATATTCATGTGCCTTCGATTCTCATGCGTAATCGTTAAACAAAGAAATAACACTCTAGGGAATGACACGTGTTCTGAAATGGGAAAACAGTGTATCAGATTACGTCTCGTGTGGAATTTTTCACTCAGCTGCTCGTCGAAAGCTGGTGAAGATTCATGAGATTCATTCAGCTGATTGATACCAAGCAATAGAATGCTCTCTGGTTGATAGCAGTGTTCGCCTAGTAGGTTGGGAATGACTTTTGARATTCATTCAGCTGATGACTGATACCAAGAAATCGAATGCTTTCTGCTGCGAGTTATAAAACATGACGGACAATTTACATTCTGCTGAAGACCCGTAATGGGGTATAGGAAATTCATTCAGCTRATTGAATAATCTTAACTTTCCTAATGTGAAACTTCTCAAATATTGAAATACTTCTCTCTATCGGTAAAGGTTTTGGAATATTTGCCACGTTRCACGAGGCTTGTTTGTCAGACGGTGTGTGGCTCTTGGCTTTCTTGTTCATGTTCAAACTAAGGCGAGTTTATTGATTAATTCWTATTAGAATATGTTGATGCCTTTAGATTAACGATAACCTTAACATTTCATATATACATTCTGATATAGTGACCACCAGTTTTTGCTCCCAAAAGTCCAACAGTAGTATCAAACCCCTAGGGGAGGGGAAGGTGTGTTTGGCTTGTGATTGAATGGTGTATTCGAGGAAAGACTATAACACGGGCGTAGAGAGTGTTTCACGGCCCCCTCGGAGCCCAATTTACATACATTTACTGTATTTTATGTGGTCACTCATCGCCCGGGATGTAGTCTTCACCCGTTCCTAGAATGCTTCACTATTAAAGCTATTTGGAAGCCATGTTTTCGATTCATATTACCCCTTAGAGGATACAAAAAGCATTAAGAGTAGATCCTGAGCGTTATAAAATGGTACAGACTCATCCAGTACAGAGGACATCCTTTTTATCCGATACAAYAGGCTGTCAAATTCTTTCTTCCGGGCTCGACTTTTCAGCTTGTCTGGGGATAGAAAGTAAGCTGTCTGGATTTACCCTAGTTACATGTAGACGTACCGTTTAGTTATCTTAAAGGTGTAAGGATATGTGTGATTCGACGATAGCACGCCGCAATTAACGAGAAACAAAATATTACGATTGATGCATATACAAACCGCCGAGCTTGGATAATCCTTAACATTGTACCGTTACTACAGAGAATCAAAGTCACAGTGCGGCTAAAACAGAGATCGCATTGGATCTTAGCATGTTTGGTTTGATTTTGCGGAGAAAGGA